CCTTCCCTCTGACACCAAGATTTTACTTTTTTATCCTGWTTTGGGACAAGAATTATATTTGCAATCTTGGGTTTTTTTTATAACAAGAAGACCCAATATTTGATAAAATTCTCTACAAGGATGGGAAAAAATCAAAAAGCTTTCCAGTATAGAAAAATAGCTTCAAAATGTTCTTTTTATCTCATGCAATGCTTCTCACCCCAATAGAAGAGTAAACTTTCTTTTCCCAGAGACTCTTAAGCAAACACTGTAAATATTTGGAGATCTAAATGACTAGATTAGCAGTGATGCCATCATTAATGGCAGTGACAGGAAAGTGTCAGAGTTGCAAGTTTCTATGTTTTTTAATTGGTCCTGCAATTGTTCTGTCAAAATATTTACCCAGGGGTGTGATTAATAATAATAGGTGACAGCTTCAATTATCCTCAAACATATTAGAAAATATAAGCTCTCAGATACAATCTTTAAAAGCGTATCTTAAGCTGCTTTTACAAGCTTACTATGACAAGAATAAATACAGAGAGAAAATCTGCAATTAAAGTTTTTGTTTATTTTAATCAGGGTTTTTTTTTTTTTTTTTGCTTTAAGCAGCAGAGAGACAAAATGTTTATGTACACATCAATACTTAGATCTAAGGATCAAAAAACATTTTTCATGCAGCTTTCTTAAGTTCCTTAATTCAGTCCCTGATACAGGCATGACATTGAGAGGCAAAGTCATTTGATGCTGTGTTAGTGATATACAGCCAGTCTGAAATTTGGAGGGATAAAATAAAAGCCCAGAAAGAAAACTGAGTAAAAATATTATGATATGCCTTACACATCTGAGCCATAGGATTTCTTTTTCAGCCAGATAAAAATAAGCTTTTTGTTTCTATGTGTTCCATTTCTTTCCACTTTTTGGAAGTGGCTGGTGCTTGCCTCGGTGCTTGGGTTTGCTTCATTTATCTCTTTTCAGTTTGTTGCTTGCAGTCAGTTCACACACTATATATCTTATGCTCCCTCAAAGATGACCAGATGTCCATGGCCCACAGGAAGACCACATTGGTTTAGTAGCTGTGGGATGGGGCTCCTGACAGAATTCAGGAGATACTTCGTTTTATCACTTACAAGCCATGTAGCATCACGAAACAGGCTGTATAGGGTGGTCACCAATAACCACAAAACAGTTTTTGGTGCCTTTTGTTGTGCCCTGTGGTCCCAAAAGCCCTAGCCATGAGAAAGCAAGAGAAGRGAAGGATGTATCCTGCATCACATTAGCTCTAGTGAGCACATGTTGAATCATTATCTTTACCCAGGATTTTCTAGTGGTTCTTCACCATTAAGGCATCCACGTCTCTACCTGTCTTTCCTTCAATATGTTTTTAAGGTTTTAATAAGATATTATTAAAACAAGCTTTATATTGTTCAACATCACTTTTTTTAGAAGCTTGAACCCTATCAATTTATTTAAACCAAAGAAGAACTTAATTTCTTGAAGCTGTAATCACTTGGCCAGGCAAAAATATCCAGTTCTTGGTCCCTGAAAAATTAAAACAGTGAATTCGCAGACACCAGTAGTGTCACGGTGACAGGTGTGCTATTGGCAAGAAGAGGAATTGCTGTGTTTGATCCATAAATGATTGAAGAGATCCTATATCCAAATGCTCCATCTGTGTTATTTTTAATTGGGCTGGCTCACAAGAATAGTGACCATGCAAACGTCATGATCTTCCTTGAGAAATGCTATCTAAAATCTCTTTAAAGGGCCCTTGGGCAGCGCTTAAGCATCATTTTAACTTATAGTAAGTGTCTAGTCATGCTGATATATAGGAGATTCCCAAAGTACTGAAAGTTGGATCTGCACATAACTACTTTGAGCAAGATCTTTAGGAGTATATTGGCAATAGGCTTGGTCTGAATTGATTATATTGCTGAAATTGATTATATTGATAGAAATCAAGCAGGGCTTAGTTTTATGCTTTTCCTGTATTATAATAATTATAATAACTCAAGGTGTAAAACTCGCTTCCAGGAAAAAAAAAAAGTTATTCTAATATATGCTTAGGGATGATTTCCTGTTCAAACACAATTTCCCTTTGCTGTCTTTCATTCACTGAAACTTTAATTACAGCATAAACAATGTCTGGAAAGAAAAGATGTAAAGCAAGAAGGAAAGAAGAAAAGAAAGAAAATGAAAGAAAGAAAGAAGGAAAGACAAAAAAAAGGGGAAGAAAAAAAGGCAAAAAAGAGGATGAAGGGATGCATGTTTGTGTGTGTATGTGTGTGAGGAGAGGCTGAGCCCTAAAATACTGCATCTAATGTCCTCCTGCATCTTATTCTGCCCTTTGATTATGTGAACATCCTGCTCTCCTTCCTAATCTCACCAAGCTGTGCATCTCATTGATTTCCCATGGCAGCAAAGTCAACAAATGCTGCGTAAAAGACTTATTCCCTTTTATATATTGTTTTAATTTTGCTGCCAGTCATTTTCATTGACCATTGCTTTTGCATCACAAGGCAATGCAGCAAGGCTGCACATGCAATCTGCTGGGTTGTAAATTGTTATTTATTTACTAATCCTCCCCTTTCTTCCCCTTATTCTCTTTTCTTTTTCTCTTTCTCTTCCCCTTATTCTCTTTTCTCTTTCTCTTTCTCTTCTTTTTCTTTTTCTTTTTCTTTTTCTTTTTCTTTTTCTTTTTCTTTTTCTTTTTCTTTTTCTTTTTCTTTTTCTTTTTCTTTTTCTTTTTCTT